AGAATCTAAAGCCGCTTCCACATGAGTTCAATTCCCGCCTGCCCCGGAGGTGACCACATGGCGCAGCAGACCTCTCCTGACCCGCCCGCTGCTCCCCTCAGCAGTGTACTTCACTGATCTGCCTGTTCTGCTCCCCACTCTGTCTCTGGTGAAGCCTCTCACCGCCCCTGAGTCTCTGGCCTGTACCCCAGTTCTGTATGCACAAATAAATAAATCTTTAAAAAAAAAAAAAGGTTAAATCTTTAAAAAAAAAATGTTAGCAATTAGGGAGATATAAATAGAAGCTCCAAAGAAAACAATACATACATATTGGAATAGCAAAAATGAAAAAAAGTGGTTAACACCAAATTCTGGGTGAGGACATGGAAAAGCTAAACCACTCATATGTTACTGGTGAGAATGTAAAGTGATATAATTGTTCAATAATTTTAAAATTTCTTAAATAATTATACTTTTGCTCATTTTCCCCAGAAAAATAAAAACTTACACAAAGCTTGCACATGAAGTTCTCTAGCATTTGTAATAGCCAAAAACTGTTTTTCTTTACCCAATGAGTGGTTAAACAAACTGCATATCCATACCATGGATATTTATCAATAAAAAGGAATGAACTACTGATACATGCTACAACCTAAATGAATCTCCAAAGAATTAAGCTGTGGGGGAAAAAAGCCATTCTCAAAGATTTGCATACTATATAGTTTCAATTGCTTTAGCAGTCTTGAAATGCCAAAATCACAGAAACTGAAATTAGTGGTTGGTTAAAAGAATGGGTAGAACAGGAGGAAAGAGGGTATAGATGTAAAGGGAAAACAAGAGGAGCTTAGAAGTTCACTCAGTTGTAACAAGTAATAGGTTGAAGGAACTCAGCAAATTGGTCTCTCCTAGATCCAACAGAGAAGTGAGATCACAGCACAAACTCCCAAATTTAGTGAGACACACAGGAAATATAGATAATTTTAACTTAATGGAGCAGAAGTCCACTAAGGGACTAAGGGAGGGAGCTCTAGTGGCCAAGAAAGACGTCCTAGGCTATGTTCCTGGAGACATTTAAACTGGTAGCTTACCAATAAGAGCACCCACCATCTCTGTGATTGCCTGTGCCTGCCTCTGGGATTGTGTCTGCACCCACCCTAACTCACCCACCTACCCTACCCGAACCCATCCCACCTCCCCCCAAACTCCCGCAAACCACACTGAGACTGGCAGACCATGATCCAAAAGAGTGAAGGGTGAGAGGCATAACTTGAGGGGAAACTGACAGAGACATCTACAAATGGGGTGCTGTAACCCCTGGGGAAGGTAAGAAAGTATGGCTGGGGCTAGGTCAGCAATCAAATTCTAATTTAGGGAGGATTTGGTCATGGATATGGTCAGCTGGAGAAAGTTCTGAGTTAAACAAACCTGTAGCCAGAAAAAAATAAATAAATAAAAACAATGTACAGGATAAACCAATGTGAGTTCTCACATTTTGTTAGTTTTAGCTCCAGGTTATCTATCAGATTCTCACAGTGAAAACTAGAAAAAAAGCCCCAATGGTTCAGGTAGGAAAAGAAAAAAAAAGGGACCATTTTAAAATGCATCCCATATTTTGTTCAGAACAAGATTTGTCTTCAAGAGAAGCTACATTAGCAGAGCCTAACTTAATGGGGTTTTAGCAGAGTCTAATGATTTATAGGAAGGGAAATTCAAATTCTAGCCATGAAATAAGTATCAATATCCTTCCTCAAAGTGGGGGGGGGGAGCGGGGAAATAAAAACAAAGAATAAGATAAATGAATAGAAAAAAGCAACAACTATGATATATATTAATCTAGTGAATATCATAATTATTTTAAAAAATCAAAAATACATCAATTAAAGGAGATAGAAACAAAATACAAGGTCAATTATATACACTGTGAACAAGAATTTCACTTTAAATATTAAGGCATATAAATTGAAAGTAAATGGAAGGATAAACCATGATGACACTATCAAAAGAAAGTTAGACTAGCTATATTAATTTTAGGTGGATTCCAGTAAAAACATTACTACATAAAGAAGGGCATTACATAATGATAACTGTGTAAATTCTCCAGGAATACTAAATTTCCTGGGTATGATATCTTTTTAGAAATAATCCAAAAGGTGTGATCTTTGACAAATAATTAAGCTGAATCATTAAAACTTCTCCTCTGTGAAGTGAATGAGAAGGCAAATGACAGATTGGGAGAAGAAAGTATTTTCTAAACACAATTTTTGATAAAGAACAATTATCCAAAATAAAAGAACTCTGAAATTCCAACAATAAGAAAAGCATGGCCCTCCCTGGTGGTGCAGCAGGTTAAAGCACAGCACAAAGAAACTTAAGCCACTTCTGCATAAGTTCGACTCCCGCCTGCCCTGGAGGAGATCCACATGGCGTGGCAGACCTCTCCTGACCCGCCCGCTGCTCCCCTCAGCAGTGTACTTTCTAGATCTGCCTGTTCTGCACCCTGCTCTGTCTCTGGTGAATCCTCTCACCCTCCGCATCTCTGGCCTGTACCTCAGTTCTGCATGAATAAATAAATAAATCTTTAAAAATAAAGAAAAGCAAACAATTTTTAAAAATGGATGGAAGACTTGGATGCCTCACCAAAGACCTACTATAGTATAAACAAGTATAAAAAGGATGCTTAACAGTATATGCCACTAGGGGTCTGCAAATTAAAACAAGATGCCATCCAATCAATACCTTTTAAAATAGCCCAAACGTAAACCACCTACCATACCAAACACTGATGAGGACATGAAGCAACAGTAACTCTCACTTAGTGCTAAAAAAGGCAAAGCTCTGGAGACAGTAAAAGAATTAGCAATTTCCAGGGCTTAGGGATGAGCAAGGCAGAGCACAGAAGTTTTTTAGGGCAAACTAACCTTAGTATCAACTTATTCTGTATGATGCTATAATAGTGGCTGCCTTTATACATTTGCCAAAACCCAAATAATATACAACACCAAGAGTAAATCTAATATGAACTATGTACTTTGTAACATTGATAACAATGTATAATGAATCTAACAAATGTCCCACTTGCTTCTGGATATTGAGGTGGCTGTCAATGTGGAGGGGCAGGAAGGATATGTGAAATGTCTGCTTTCTGCTAAATGACTGTGGACCTAAACCTACTCTAAAAAAAAAAAGTCTGCGGGCCCTCCCTGGTGGCGCAGGGGGTTGAGGCACTGCACTAAGAAGCTTAAGCCACTTCCTTATGAGTTCGATACCCGCCTGCCCCGGAGGAGCTCCACATGGAGCGGTAGATCTCTCCTGACCCGCCTGCTGCTCCCCTCAGCAGTGTACTTCGTAGATCTGCTCCCCCCTGTCGCTGGTGAATCCTTTCACCGTCCGCATCTCTGGCCTGTTCCCCAGTTCTGTATGCATAAATAAATCTTTGGGAAAAAAAAGTCTGTATATAAAGAAAAATAACATAAGGAATCTTTATCATGATAGAATGGTTCTGTATTTTGACTGTATCAATGTAAATATTATAAATATGATATTGTGCTGATAGGTAATTTAACATTGGGAAAGTGAATTAAAAATGTAAGAGATCTGCTTGCATTATTTCTTAAAATTACATTGATATCTTAAACTATTTCAAAATAAAAAGTTTAATTGAAAGTACACATACAAGACTCTCCCTGGTGGTGCAGTGGATTAAAACACAGCATTAAGAAGCTAAAGCTACTTCCTCATGAGTTTGATCCCTGCCTGGCCTGGAGATGTCCCACATGTGTGGCAGACCTCTCCTGACCCTCCCGCTGCTCCCCTCAGCAGTGTACTTCGTCTATCTGCCTATTCTGCTCCCCACTCTGTCTCTGGTGAATCCTCTCACCATCTCTGCACCTCTGGCCTGTATTCCAGTTCTGTATGCATAAAAATAAATAAATCTTTAATAAAAAGAAGTACACATGCAGTTAGAAAATTGAAAAAAAAAGTAAACTATAAATTATCTGAAGGAAAATGGGATGATTATTTAGAAAGAAGATAAAATATCCAGATTTTCATGAATGAAAGAAAGCATTTAGTCAGCCATTTTCAGAAACCATTATACAAATAATAAAATCCAGTATATTGTAACAGATAGTGAGAGTAATAGATCTGATAATTTATATAATTTAACTTTGGTAGGACACATAGTAAAGAGCAATAAATTAAATATATCCTGGGTATATACACACATTTATATGAACATGCTCATATAATCTTTCACATGCACCAGAGGCAAATATTTAGGATGTCGTCCTGGGAAAGAAACTTTTTCTTAACCTCAGTCATCATACTACTTAACTGTCAGTACTGCAGTGAGTGGTTTTGTTGTGGATTCCAAGATTAAGCTGAGTATAAATTTCTGTTTCTCCTTTTTTAATGAAACAAAAGCTATTAACAGCATTTTTCAGTACTAAGGAAAGTAAAATTCTACAAACCTGCTAGAATTCATAGCAGAAATAACTAGACTCATAAATTGAATTAAATGATCTTTACAATAAATAGGTAAAATGTACCATTCCTTTTACAACACTCAGAAATAATTTTTCAATGATTATTATCTTAATGATCATTGTCTTGGTTAGCTACTGCACAACATGAGAAATACTGTATTCCTATAATCTTCAGTAGAATATAAATTATAAATTAAATGGTAAGGCTATATACAATTCTGAAATTTATAAAACAATATTAAATTGAGAAATAATATTTAAAATTAAATTGAGAAATAATTTTTATATGCCATAAGACAGCATGTTTCTTATTTCTTATATATATGTTTCTTATTTCTCCTATAAGAAATAAGATTATTTCTAAATCTTATTGAGAAATAAGATGTATAAAAGAAGAAAAGAGTAATAAACAAAGCAAGGGAGGCAAGGAAAAGCCCCAAAATATAAATAAGATACATGTAAAAAAAAGTTTGGAAAAACATAATCAAGAGAATACTAAAAGCATAATGTGAAGATAGATTCCTATTAACCAATTACCTGTGTCCCAGCATCTAGCTGCCTTAGAGACCAATATATAAATTTTATAAAAGGTTCATGGAGTTTGGCATTCACAAATGGCATCCACTGTAACTGTTCTGTCATCCCAGGCAAAAGCTAAAGATAAAATAGAAAAAAGAAATGCATAGTATTTTAACTGTCTGAAATCAAATATAACACTTTTCCGAAGGAAAAAAAAAGTTCTCTAAAAAACCTGAACTTTAAAACCATATTTAACACAGCATAGAAATATGTATTTGAAAATTTAAATATGTATTTTCTGTGACCAGAAAGGATTTTAAAATGAGAAATTCAAATATATGTATTCTTTCAACTATAATTGCAAAATAAAAGATTAGTATATACACTTATATGCAAGCAAATACAAAAACCTAGAGGAAAAGAACAGATTCTTAGAATTACACAATCACCCAAGACTGAATAGGAAAGAACTAGAAAATCTTAACAAACCAATCACAAGCAAAGATATTGAAACAGCTGTCAAAACTCTCCCCCCAGAAAACAAAAGTAGAGGATCAGATGCTTTCACAAATAAATTCTACCAAACTTTCAAAGACAAACTAAAACCTATCCTGCTCAAATCTTTCAAAAATTGTGAGAGGAGACAATCTTCCAAACATATTCATGAGGCCTACATTACTCTAACACCAATACCAAACAAAGGCAACAAACAAAAAGAAACCTACAGACCAAATGCCCTTAATGAATACAGACTCAAAAATTCTCAATAAAATCGTAGCAAACTGAATCCAAAAATGCATTTAAACGATTATACAATATAACCATGTGGAATTTTCACAGAGACACAAGGCTTGACATCTAAACGTTGATCACTGTAAATCATCACATCAAAAGTTAAAACCACATAAGCATATCAATAGAAGTCAAGATAGCATTTAAGATTGCACATTCACTTATTAAAACCCTTAAAATCTGGGAGTGAGAGAACAAGATGGCTATCTAAGAAGATCCCGATCTCACCCACTCCCACAGGCATACTTTAAGTACAGCTACCTATGAAAAAGCTTTTACTGAAAAAAAAAAAGAAAAAGAAAATCCTGAAAGCTGCCTGAGCACATGCTCCTCATAGGACGATGAGAGAAGTTCCACACTTACACAGACTGGTTTTGCTCAGAAGACAACTCTATGAGACTTGGGGTCTGTGCCGCATAAACTGCATCCAGGCAGTGCTCAGGCTCTGAGGTGCCCTGACTTTCACTTGAGGACAACGGAGAAAAAAACCCCAGCAAATTACTGTGACCACCCTGACACATCAGATAAACTGGGTGAAATTGGCAATTTGTCCTAAAAAGAAGGTTGGAAGAACAGGAGACGGGAAGAAAGAAAACCAACAGAATCCTTCTACCCTCCCCACCCAGATGAAAGGAGAAAGAAGCTGGAGATCAGAAACGGGATAGAAGCCTGAGTCACCAGAATTCCGGACAAGATCAGTTGGAGAAACAGAGCCTAGGACAGGCAACCAAGGGTGCCAGTTGCTTCATGGTAGTGCTTCCCTCACATCCCCTCTCCTGGAGGCTGGTGAGACATTTTTTTTTCATTCTCTCCCCTTTATCTATAAACTGGTGCACAACTAATGGCAGGAAAAGACATTAGGTGGAGCATACTACAGATAGTCCCTACATAGGTGCCCTATGGTACCCCAAGCCCTCAAATGGAAGGAGTTCTCAGGCGCCCCATCACCCACCCACCTGCCTCACAAACTCTGAAAAACTCCCACACCCACCACTGAAATTCAGTGTTATTTTGTTTCCCATCTTCTGTTTTTTTTTTCTCTTTTCCTTTTTTCTTTCTTTCCCCTCTGCTAAAACATCACAAGAGATATAGTGCTCCCTAGTGGAGACCAAGAGGAACCACCAGAGTCCTGAGAAGCAATTCTCCCCCATCTGTTTTTGTGTTTGTTCTCTCTCTCTCTTTTTTTTTTACCTCCCTTCACACTAACTTCATTACTTTCTCTTATCACTCCATCACATTCTCTCCTTTTCCCCCTATATAAAACCTTGCTTTTTTCTCTCATCTTCATTCCTTTTACATCTCTACCATTTTCCTCTTGTCCCTTATCCCTGCTCTTGCTCCTTATTTTCTTTCAATCCCATTATTCATCTGAGACACACCTTGAGGGACCTAGCAACTCAACAGAGAAATACATCTCATCCAGCCTGTAGGCACCTCCCAGTGGACTTCATCTCAGCAGGTATCTGGAGGCACAGAGCTCCACACAAGACACTGAAATAACACTAGCTGAGATGGATTGGGGGCAGGGATTGGAAAAGCAGGAGCTTCTGCAGCAGAGCACAGCTCAGAACAACATCTACCATAATAGAAAAGTAACCGGACTTGCAGTCAGCCACAGTGACTCAGACACCAGGTAGATATACTCACACCTAAGGAAATCAGAAGTCATGCCCACCAGCACCAGTGGTACTGGGGCACCACAAACAGGCCAAAGTTGAAGGCTAACAACAGGAAGAAAGAAAAATGCCAATTATCAAGCAGGTCCTTCCAGGAACAATACACCACAGAAAGAAACTCAACCTCCAACCAGAGAATATTGACACAGAAGAATATCTCCCCCTACAGACAAAGAATTTAAAAAGGCCATGATAAGAACAATCAAAATTTTAAGAGAAAACAGAGAAAGGGATATGAATACAATTAATGAACTGAAGAACAAGAAAGAATCCCTAAAGAAGAAAGAGAAAGACCTACAGGATATCCAGAATATCAAGAATATCTCTTGATATTCTTGAAGAATATCAAGAATTCAGGGTAAAGCTATGAAAATATAAGAAATGGAAAAATTACTCAGTACTTGTGAAGATACAGGCGTAAAAACAACCAAGAGAAGTAAGAGAAACAAAAAGGAAAAAATAATGAAAAAACACTTCAAGAACTCTGATGCCATGAGGAAAGGAAATATAAGATCAAAGGTACCCCAGAAGGTGAGGAGAGAGAACATGGATTGAAAAACTATTCGAGGAGACAACTGAAGAGAACTTCCCAAAGATGAAGAATGAAATGAAAATAGACATAAAAGAAGCTAGAACACCAAACTACCACAATAAAAAGAAAACTACAGCAAGACACATAATAGTAAACTTCCCAAAGGTCTAAGACAAAAAATAATGAAACTGACATGAAGCAACAGATAACCTACAAAGTAAAACCAATCAGGCTGTCATCAGACTTCTCTGAAGAAATGCTATGGGCAAGAAGAGAATGGAGAGACAGATTTAATAAACTCCAAGTCAACAAATTCGAACCAAATTTGTCTGGAGAAAACCTGCAAAGTTTTCTTTTCTCTATAATCGACAATAAAAGCCTTCTCAGACAAACAAAATCTCCAGAAATTCATTACTACTAAACCACCATTCCAAAAGATACTACAAGAAACCCTAGAACAAAAACCAACAGAGGGATGAATAGGAAGACTAGAACAAGGTAAGGAACAAAATCACAAAAAGGCAAACAAAATGGCAAAAACAGATACCAATATATCAATTTTAACTCTAAACATAAATGGACTAAACTCCTCAATAAAAAGATGGGATTAAAACACAGAACCCAGCCTTTTGCTGTTTATGGAGGTATCTTTAACTACAAAAGATAGGCACATACTAAAAGTAAAAGGATGGAAAACAATCTTACAACTAAGTAGAAAATATATGGTCACATCAGTAGAAGCTGAGAAAGCATTTGACAATGTTCAACATCCATTTATGATGAAGGGCCTTAAAATTCTTGAGATAGAATAACATAACAAAAACCATAGACAAACAAAACCATATACAACAAACTCATAACCAGTACCATTCCCAATGGTAAAAAGCTGAAAGCCTTTCCTTAAGATCTGAACAAGACAAGAGTGTCCACTCTCACCACTGCTTTCCAATATAATACTGTAAGTCCTAGCCAAAGCAGTAAGATGATCCAAATTGGGAAAGAAAAAGTAAAACTATCATTACTTGCATATGATATAAATAGAGAAATCAAAAAATACCACAGAAAAACTAATCAAAATAAACACTAATTTAATGAAGTTGCCAGATACAAAATCAACACATAAAAATCAGTAGCCTTCCTATATGCAAACAATCAATATGAAGAAGAAATCTAGAGAACCATCCCCTTTATAATTAAAACAAAAAATCCACATACTTGGGAATAAACCTAACAAAAGAGGTGAAGGACCTCTACTAAAAAAATGATAAAACATTACTAAAACAAATAGAAGACAAAAGAAAGCCATCCCTTGCTCATGTTTTGAAGAATTAACAGTATCAAAATGGACTTCCTATCAAAAGCAATTTACAGATTCAATGCTATTCCAATAAAAATTTCAATGACCTTCTTCAAAGAAATAGAACAAATTTTGACAAAATTCATATGGGGCCACAAGAAGCCTCATATCACCAAAGCGCTCCTGACTAAAAAGAAGGGGAATGGAGGTATCACACTTCTAGACTTCACACTAAACTACAAAGCCACAATAATTAAAACTGCCTGGTACTGAAACAAAATAAGAACACAGAACAATGGAAATGACTAGAAAACCCAGAAATTAACCCAAGGACTTATGATAATTTATCTTTGACAAAGGAGCAAAGAATATACAATGGAACAAAGACAGTCTTTCAATAAATGGTGCTGGGAAAACTGGACTGCTACAGGCAAAAGAATGTGGGTCTAGAATACTGCCTTTTACCGTGCATAAAAACCAACTGAAAATGGGTAAAAGAAATAGACATAAGACCTGAAAATATAAAACATATTGAAGAAAATATAGGCAACATATTTAAAGACACATCACCTAAAGCAAAGAAAATGAAGGAAAAGGTAAATAGCTGGGACTACATCAAATTAAAGAGCTTCTAGACAGCAAAAGAGACATTAGCCAAAACAAAAAGACACCCCATTGATTGGAAGAAAATTTTTGTACACAGTGCTAATGATAAGGGGCTGACCACAAAGAACTATTGAGAGTTAATGAGGTTCAACAAAAACAAAGTAAACAACCCATACAAAAATGGGCAGAAGAGCTTTAAAGACACTTTTCCAAAGAAGAAATGCAAATACCC